TTAACTCCTTAAGGACATTGACATTTTTTATATAGATTTCAATTAAACGTAAAAAATACTTAAAACAGAAAAAAAACGAAAGAAATGCGTTTATTTTGAAGAAAAAGCTTTAAATTTTATTTTCCTTTGTTTCGCCTGTCTGTGAAATGTAACACCGATGAGTCATTGTTTACACAGCTGGGTGACCTTGAACACAGCTGGAGTCGGATTTCCCGGGACATTCTCATAGACGTCTCGGGAGGACAAGGGTTTAAAGTAGGGTGACTATAAGCGACACAGAAATTTTTAAATATTTTTAAAAAATTCAATATTTTATTGCGATTTCCGACCCCCCCTAATTAATTAATTATATATTTATAAAAATATATTAATTAAAAAAATTAAAAAACCATCGGAGGTCGTTTTTGACATCAGAAACTAACTTTAAATAACTTTACTGAATGAAAATCCGTGCGCTACAACTTAAAAACCATGAAATAATTTTGATAAAAAACTCCCATTAAAAAACAATTAAGCCTTAATCGAGCCTTCACATAGGCTCATTAAAATCGCGATAAAATTTTTTTGCGCGGGAAAAAAATTTTGAAAAAATTTAAGGACCTAAAAAACATTCCAAAAATTCAAAAAAAAAATTTTTTCAAAAATGGCCTTAAGGACCACATTTTTCGTAACGCTATGTAGGCTTGACGTATATATACGTCAATGGAGACTGAGGGGTTAAAATATAAGTTATGTTCTTAATTAAATACCATATATTTAATTACGTACTTATTTTGTTAATAACTTGACTTAATGTTTTGTTCTTATCATTTAAATCATAGATTTCTAGTTTTTGCAAGACTACATATACATGTGAATTTATGGTTAATGTCAAATTAATAAATTAAAAATTTTTTAAACAGTTGTTATTTCTTTTATTGTAAACATACTTGGAAATTTCTTTAGTATAACATATTAAATTTGCATTATATATCTATAACAGTTTATAAATGTATTCATTTTTGTAATTATTATAAACATTCTCAGAATGTTTTAAATTGTTAAAAATAAATATACATTCTTCCAAATGGTTTGTGAACTTTTAGTTAATGAGTTGTGAAGAATATTTAAATAAATAATTTTCTGTATTTTCTTCTTGCCAAAAGACTCAACAGCATTAGGACCATTTATTCAAAAATTCATTACATGTTTTGGCTTACTCCCTTATCATATTAATGGAGATCAGACGAGTAGTTTGACTGATGTCTGTTACAGAAGTACCATATAGATGAATTTTAACAAATCATTCATTTTCCCCAATGATTTCAATCATACAATATTACCTTTATACTACCTTACAGAATAGCAATGTTTTGGATGTATAAAAAAGAAATTTAATACCTCCACTACCTTCATTTCCAATGCCTCAAGTTGTTTGTCTTGGTCCATAATTGAAAAATTACAAGAATCATCCAAAAATTAACTAAAATTTCCCTGACTATTTGACTAAATTATTTAATTATTTTAGATTGTAAATAATCTAGTGTTTAGATCATTGATTGGTTTAAATATCAAGCTGTTGTTTGTTTGTGTATATATAAGTATATTAATGCATTCTTTCTATTTTTTATTATGTTAATTATATTGACATAACATATATTTGTTTTAGTATTACTGTGTTTTATTTTATTATTCTTAAAATATCATTAATTAATAATTGTTATTGATTTGTTTAACAATAACCTTTATGAAAAAATATTGACTGTTGAGAATCTGTAACAATTTTCTTCCTATAATATGAATTTTTAAAAGATGAGGTTTAATATTTTATTTTATGAATGTTTTGTATTGAAGTTGGGCAAAAAGTTTAGATTGAATGAGTAATTATTTATTGTGACATTGTCATAATGTCAGGCTGCAATTTTTAATCATATTTTTCATTTATTTAATTTAAAATATATGCTTTACACCTGAAATTAGTAGTGGCTTGCCCCTGTACAGTACATCATACTTTAACAATAGTCCTGCTGGTCAACTATTAACTGCTTTCAGGGGAAAGTTTTGAAATTGAAATAACATGACTTTCATGGAAGTTTGTATATTGAGGCGGTGCAGTCACGTGATAAACATCATCTGCCCATTCACCTAAACAATCATCTGCCATATTGGTTGCTGATTTAATGTTACCTTGCTCGTTTGCTTTGTTATGTCAATGTGAAAGAAAGGCATCTTACCTGGCTATGCAGCCAATTTAAAAGATAATGATTTGATAGAATATAAAGAGAAAATTATTTTATTGGATGGGATCCATATGAAATGAATTCGTTTTTTCATCCAACAAATTAACCATGTAGCCTACTATAGAACATGGAGACAGTAAATTATTTAGTTTTAACAACTGACGCTGTCACACTGGATCAGATGAAGGCATACAAATCACTTGATGCTCATAATTATTTGACAAGCGGATTTATTCATCGTGATATTTTATCAAGAGCCATTTGTAATGATTTAATTTTGCTTGTAGTAAAGGTACGTATCTTTATGTGAACCTTTCCATTACTCATAACATAAAATGCGTTATGTAAAGATAAATTTAATAAAGAAATACAACCCATAGGTAGTTGTTATCCTGTAAATGGAGTTTGGGAAAACAGTTTGTTTTGTTTTATTACACTAATGGCTACATCGGCCAAAGAATACAGAAGAATAGTTATCAAGCTATACAGCGCAAAAGGAAAATTTGAATTCTTGTTGCAATGCCGACTTAATGATGTTTTCCCAAACTCCATTCACAGGATACGACTACCTATGGGTTGTATTTCTTTATTACCAAGACTGAAGTACCTGTGCTTTAATAAAGCTATCAGATAAATTTAATTTTATATTTAGTCACATTTTAAGTTGATTAAATTGTATTTATAATTACCATCAAATTTTTTCTTTTGTCACCATAGTTTTGTGTTGTGCAAGTCTCTAACAACCTATTATTAAGATTAAATTAATTAACCTAATAAGCCCTTCAATTTATTATAGCCATATTTATCATATCAGGGACTGACTGGAGCAAAATAGACTAAAGTTTTACAAAAAAAATAGCTTTTAATTAACCACAGTCAAATTTTTAGTAGAATGCATTTTAAGCATCTCATCAGCATATTTGTATTTATACTGTATGGATGTATTAGGCTGATGAGGGGTGTTTGTACCTGAAAGGCATTCTACTAAAAATTTGATTATGGTTAATTAAAGGCTATTTTTTTGAAAAACAGTTGAGTCTATTTTGCTCCAGTCAGTCCCTAATATGATAAGTCCCTCCAATTTATTACAGCCATATTTATTAAGCTAATTAATTTAATCTTAATTTACATTGTGGGCTAGAAGCATTATTTAATAACATATTATTGTTTTAAATATATTATTAGAAATAAATAGCACAGTTTCTTATGTTTGTAGTTTTTGTACACAGATTAATCACTCACAAAATCTACGGCAGCCAGCTTTAGTAGTGTGGGTTTTAGCTAGAAAACTGGAGAGGTGATAACTGGGCATTGCAATTGCATGGCTGAACAATCTTCTTCCTGCTCTCATGTTGGTGCTATTCTTTTTGCCATTGAAGAAGGAATTAAAATAAGGTGCACTCAGACATGTACTGACCAACCGAATAATTGGATTTTGGCACATGTAAAAGATTGTGATTACAAACCACTACGAAAAATAAACTTTATGTCAGCTGCAACTGCAGGCAAATGGCAATGCCTTGAAGAAAAAAATATACAAAAAACCTTATTTGTCAAGTGATAAAGCTTGGAATATTTGTATAAACAAACCTAGTAAGACAGAATTTTAACAGTTTTTGAACAAAATTTCTGTTCATAATCCAACTGCTGCAATTTTGTCAGTGATGCTAGACTACTCTAATTCTTTTACAAACCATGCCAATTCATCTTTTTCTAAGAACCCACTTACAACTGTTTGATGTCAAAAAAGCTGCTTTACTGTGGAGTCATCTATTAAATCACTGCAGGACAGTGTTTGAAACTTTGCATTTGACAGATGAAGAAATTGATTTTATTAAAGAAAATACACAAGCACATAGTAGAAGCAAGTTGTGGTTTGTGTATAGATAAGGTAGAATAACTGCTTCTGTTATGAAAAGTGTGTGTAGAGCATATATAGAAATTCTACCAGTTTCATTAATTAAAAAATTTGTTACCCTAAAGAATTCTCTTTTAGGAGTGCTGCAACTGCATGGGGTTGTAAATATGAACAAATTGCTTCTGATGAGTATAAAAGATTACAATACAAAAAACATGAAAATTTTAGTATGAAAGCTCATGGACTTTACTTAAATTCATCCTGGCCTTACATTGATGCAACACTGGATGGAATTGTAAATTGCAATTGCTGTGGAGCAGGTTTGATGGAAATTGTGTCCATGGTGTAAAAGAGATGAAAATATAGAAGAAACCCCTCCAAATTTTCTGAATAAAGTGAGTAAATTCATACTAAAGAGAGATCATGTGTACTATTATCAAATTCAAATGCAGCTGTTTATTTGCAATGCTAGTTACTGTGATTTTGTTGTTTGGACAAAAAGTCCATTTACATTGAACACATTACATGTCATGAATTGTTGTGGGCAAGCATTGTGCAATGAAGTAAAGCCTTTTTTGTGCACTGTATTTTACCAGAGCTAATTGTAAAAAAAATTTTCTTCTCAGCCAGCTCTACTCCCACGAAAAGATTCAGAAAATGTATAAATGTTATAGAATAAAATATTTTACTATATAGCAAATTGTTTAGTAAAAATTGCAACTTTTAAGCAAAAAATTAAAAATCCAGAAAGTATTGCAGTATTGAATAAATACTGTAATTTCATTTGACTAATAAATTTATTTCTTTCTTTATTTTACATATTATTGGACTTTTCAGTTGACAAAAGATTTTCACCCCCTGAATAACAAATTGTGTTATAACAAATTAAAATTATTAATTAAATGGAACTACACTGTTTGATAAGTTTATTAGAGCATAACAAATTGTGACAATTTTTTCAATTGTTGTTATGGAATCTTTAATTTTAACTGTAATCAGTTCAATTGGTAATGTAGACTGCAAGATTCTATATTGATTTCAGATGTGGCTAATTACTCTTTCTAGATGTATCCTCAGATGTGAAAGTTTTCTTCTCTGCATCACATCTGTAGCTGAAAGTTTTCTTTTCTCTTGCGTAGGCTGGAAGCAAAAGCTTTGCACAATAGAAACCTGTACTGTCAGGTGTGTTAAATCTTCTGTCGGCTAAAATAACATCACCGAGATTGAGATAATTTAAAAAGCCAGAATGCTCAGTTAAATATTGGTCACTAATTCTACCTCTCCATGGTTCTGAAATAAATGATACTGTTTCTTGAGGTGTTACTCCTATTAAGAATTTTATGGTGGTGTGATGTTTATATTGTGACCAAGTCTGAGCTCTTGAGATTAATGATGGTCTGTCAATAAAAATTTCAAAGCAATCTATTATTATGGCAACATTTTCTCCAAGACAGTTTTTAAATACCCTAGGCATTGTTTGCTGTAAAATGTTCTTATCTGATCAGTGAATTAAATCAGACAAATGAACATACAAAACATTTGTCCATTTTTCCAGAATTCTTGAAACTTCTGATTATGAAATGAACCTGTAGGCAAGATCCTGATGACACAAAGTCATTCTGAATCTCATCAAACATGCCAAAAATTCCTGTAACTGCATTAATTTGCTTTGTTCTGAATGTTGAACAGTAGCAGAACATAAGTCAAATACATCCAGGAGGACGTCGAAGTTTACCACTCCTGTAAAAAATCTTGTTTTTTCATCATTTCCCTGAAATGACTCAAGTGAATAATACCGTATTTTGACGATTATAAGTCGCACTTTTTTTACTACTTTTTGAGGCTCAAAATTATGGTGCGTCTTATACTCGACAGGTAACCATTTTTACAGTGAAATTATTTACAGTAGTGGTCCACTCTAGGGACCAACCTGTGCAGTGATCCATTAAGCACATGGTCCCTCAACCGAATGGCTAGAGTACCTAGATTATCAGAATAGCAACACACAAGTCATCGCCGCCATGTTCTGTCAACTGTCATTGCGTGACCTCTGAGTTTACATTAAGAAATGACGATTATTTCAGTTTAATAAAGGTGTCGATTCACCCATCCGTCATATTCTTGAATAAAAAACGAATAAAATGCATCTTTTTAATAAAAATATGAATAAAATGCATCCGTCACATTCTTGAATAAAAAAACGAATAAAATGCAATCTCCCATTAAAAAAGTTTGTTCTAAATTTTCTGTCTCAAAACGGGTGTGTCTTATACTCGACAGCGACTTATACTCATCAAAATACGGTAATCATTTATGGTGGCTGTTGCTTTTAATGTTGCCAGTTCTCTCCGAAGTGCATCACATTCCTGTTCCAAATTATTAATATTTATCATAATGGAAATAAGTTCTGTTTGTGACATAGATGCAACTCCTCTTTTGTTTTCAGTTTGCACATAAACAGTACTCTTTTTATTATCGCACAAATCTGAAGCTATTTTTTAAATTTACAACACTTTCTGAAAGTTCTTCCTGGGAAGTTTGTGAAGTTTCTTTCATAAAAGAAATTTCAGTCTGATGCACTTTTTTGCACTGTCTACTTTTTATTCTTTTCATAGCATGTTCATATTGTTCTTGTTTTGCTCTTGCTTCCTTTGATCTGCCACTTTCTCCCATGTTTATTGTTAGGGCCCAATCTGGAGATTCTAAATCATACAGCTTTGCTGGTTTTCCTTTAAATAAAAAATAGTTTCACAATAAGTTTTGCTCACAATCACATATACTTTTGTGTTTTACAAGTAGAGAAAAATGGGAAGCAGTGAGACAGCAAAATTTATAACAAGAAAGCAACTTAACATGGAAGCATTTCCATCATTAGCCCTTGTAATTCATTCTAATATGTTCTTTTATGGCATAACAGTCTGAGAAAATGTAAATGCATATTATTTTCTTCATAAACATTACTGTTCTATTTAACTAATTTTTTTCTTCTGTAATTTGGCTTTAAAACATTAAGTCCAGGTATGAAAGAGATATTAGAGAGGTTGAGCGCACGTTTTAAACATGTACGTGTGACGTTCGGCGCCGCTTTCCCGTAAGCCTAAAAGTTTGACGATGGTGTTTGGAATGTCGAGCGTGATTCCACCGACTATCCAAACACCATTGTCAAACTTTTAGGCTTGTGGGAAAGCGGCGCCGAATGTCACACGTACACGTTTACACGTTTAAAACGTGCGCCTCAACCTCTCTATTAAGGTAAGAAGTTTATATTTTCATTGCACCTTTTATTTCAGTTTGTTTTAATATTAAGTGAAATCTTACATTAGATTTGTAACCTTTATATTAAAAGTTAATTGTGTTTGTCATCCTGTCCATTCTGAAAGGAACAGAGGATTTTATGACTACATGAAAAAATTTTCTCAAAGATGGTTGGTTCGTAATATTTCACCGTCCTGCCAATTTTTTCTATAGGGCATCCATTATTTTTCTCAGGATTAAAATACTCATGAAACAACCATTTAGTAGGATTAAAGCTAAGAAGTAGTAATAGCATCTCACTGTTTCCCACTCTCCACTATATGAATTACAAGGTAACGTAATCTCAATTTATAAAAAATATTACCAAAAATGAGCAATTATGTACATTTACCTGAAATGAAATGTTTATTGCAAACACATTTATTATCCATCACAGAGGAATTGGTAAAGTTTTTCCTGTTAATTCTGGCAGGCTATTTCATTTGCCTTTGCTGTAAAAGATCTTCAGTTTTTTTTATCTTGATGAATTACCATCAGAATTCAGAAAAACGATCTATTTTTATGCTTTCTGTAGTTTGAATCTCAACCAATGGACTATGCAATGGACCATAATAAATTAAGATTAAACTTGAAAACATATGAGTTAGATGGAGATATCGAAGTTGACAATCAAACCAACAGCAACCAATATGGCACTCACTTCTTTGCGGAGTCGTGTGACGTCACGTGGACCCCTTCTATAGTTAATTGGGGCCTCCCACCCCTAAGGTTTTCATATGTTGTCTCATCTTTCATCTCTCTAAACCAGTTTGTGAAATTAAGGACGGATGGATGGAAGACAGTGGAAGTTTATAGGTATACAATTTTTTGAATTGCAGCTCAATTATAATAATTTTGTTTATGCTTTTTGAACTCGGTAAAACATTTTGTGATATTAAACATGTTTAATTATCATGACTTACAGATTGTAACATATATTATCTGTTAAGTATGTTTCAGAAAGCAGAGTTCTAAAAATGATGCAGAAACTGTTTGAAAATGTTACTTTATGTAAAAATTTAAAAGATATTCCAATGAAGCATTAGTATATGTTAACATTTTTCCAATGTAGGATATGATTCCAACGATATTCAATAAAAAAAAATCTCCTCCAAATATAACTTTAAATCAGGAATTTTTTTAATTGAAATAAGTTTATACACAGGTGATTTCAAAATATTTTTAGACCCAAGTTCACAAAAGCTGATAACTTTATTTTACTTTTTAAACAAGTTTTATATTTATGCATTTCAGAACTGTGTCCAGTTACTTTAGTTCATTTTTTTCCTTTTGACTAACTAAATGCCTATATTATTAAGATAAGTGCCATGATATTTTAAACCATAAATTAATTAATAATTAAAATCACTGATTATATAACAACTGTTAAAAACCATTTGACAACATTTTTTAACTTTTTTTAATTTATGGATATTGTCATGTCCATAAATCTTGAAATTTTTCATTTTTGTGAAAGGGGATGTATGGATTGGAAAAGCTGGGAATCACTGATAGCATGTAGAATATATTATTTGCAATATTTTTTTTTATTAGAAAATAATTTTATAATTAATTAAAAACTATGAATGGATATGTGAAATGAATATTTGAAAGTAAAATGAATTGAAGAAAAATAAACCAATGCTAAGCTCTACATTTCTAATTTTTCTAGAAAACCAAGTTTAAACCCAGAAGACAGTATGAAATTTAAGCAATATAAACAAGAATTTTATTGTAACAAGTATGTATGGTTTTTTTTTCTTTTTGCTTAGATAAGTAAATTAGAAATATATCTTTTTAATCATAATTACAATATGTAGATTCTATCTGTATATTAATCATTTTAGGTATTGGAATCAATTGCTCAGTAAAAGGACATGTTAAAACAAAAATTTGTATAACTTAGAAATTCATAAATTATATTTTATAGTGATTCTTTGTCTTACTTTACTACTATTTTCCCTATATCATTTTTAACAACTGCTAGCACATAATCAAAGTAATATATATCAACAATACTACATCCAACACACACCGTAACTTCAAAAGACTTACTTCTAGTATAAACCAACACGGTGCTTAATTCACTATACTTTCTTTCACTAACGTTTTCGAACCTTTCGATTCTTCTTCAGGTGAAAAACGGGCAAATCAGTTAACATTCGATTGAGCCGATCTTTTTTGAAAGAATTCCGAATATGGAACATCTCCGAAATTCGTGCAATCGTCGTCATCCTTTGTGCATGCGCCGTTGTGAGCCTACGTTTCATTCCGTTATGTGTCATATACCAGGGTTTGCCACGCTACTGATAATGATATTTCATCTTTGTTGTTTATACAATTGTTACCCTGAGTTGCTTTGTGTATATAAATCGCTTCCATCAAATGCAGATAGTGTGTCTGGTGCGTGGAGTATATTATCCTGGCTTGATCAAATAACAGTTGTATCTCAGGATCCGTGGCCCTGAGATACAACCGTGTGACAGAATATTTTGTGAATATATTTACACCAAAATAAATTACATAATAAAAACTTAGCAATTCACTCAAAATGTTGATTTTGTAACATGAGACCTTTATCCATTCATGTCTTCAATTCTATCTGGATATGTAAGTTTTTTGTCAATGAGTGTATTCTATTAATAAATATTATATATTCTAGACTTCTTATGCTTTTTACTTTTTCTTTTTTAGGACGTATGTATTTATTTATATGCTTTAATTTTTTTAGTAATTGCCCTCTGAATGTTAAACATATTAATTTTATTTTGAATAGGAAACAAGACTTAAATTTGCCATCAACATCTACTGGTAATTTAGTAAGATTTGATTCAAACTCTAGTGATGACTCAAGGTAAGTTAAAGTATACGTGTTTCAATTATAAATTTTAGAAAAAAATTAATAAATAAGAATTCTTGTTTGAAAATTTTCTTTAAATGTTTCAAAAAAAAAAAAAAAAAGAAAAACGTTGAGACTTATACATACTGTTTCTAAAACTTGCAAAATTTATTCAGATTATTTAACAAGAATACAAAACTATAATAATAATAATGATTTTTTCCAATATTTTTAGTTTACTTTTAAGGTAACAAAAGATTGTTTTAGTTTTATTTATATGTATTACTTAATTTATATAGTCTGTAATAATAAAGCAACTACCAGAGTTAATTATATTTCATCTGTAGTATCAAAATGGCTTTTAGTTAATTGCTAATTTGCATAACTAACAAATTGTAGTTCTGATTAAACTTGATTAGAACTGCATTCCACAGATGATAAATTTATAATTACTATTTGAAAATTTAATTGAGAAATAACAACTATTATTTGATAAATAAAGCAAAGCAAAATGATAGAAATTTAGTTATTCAGCATACACTTTATATTTTTAACATTTAATGTAGTTTAGAGAATTTTGTCTCAAATATTCTGTTTCTCTGTTTACTTATTTATAATTACATCTACAAAGCACTGCTAATGTAAATAAAAGAAATGGAGAAAAACAGAATGTATGAGAAAATACCTTCTAAATATGAATTATTCACATGAAGTTCAATAATTGATTTATTTTATATTTTGTGTTTTGTTAAAACTTTTTAAATAAATATTTCTAGATCTTATGTTTTAAATAAGTTTTGCTCAATTATAAGCCAAATCTGAATATATATTTAAATTTAAACAGTTTGAAAAGAAAAATCTTTTGTATTTTATAATTTATTTTGAAGTATTTATTCCATGAATTATCAATATTTAATAGTGACAATGCTGGAATTAAAGTAAGTTATCAAAAATTACCAATTTCATATAATGTTCAAAATCATTATCATCATAAAAATTGAAAAATAATGATTAGCCTTCTATTGACTGACTAATCAGCCATCTACTTTATGAATAGCAAAATCTTTGCTGATTTCATGAAAGACAAGAACCAGCATGTTCCTACTTTAGCTCTTTCCCTGTTTAATTAGTGCTTGATTTAAAGCTTTTCTACTGTGATATATGCTGTTTCCTGGAAATCTTTACATGAAAGAACAAATTCATGTAAAGCTTCAACAATATGGGCACATAATTTAAGCTTCCTGACCCTAGCTATGCTTGAGATTTTAAAGAACATAAAATCAATAAAGATTAAAGAGCATACATTCAGTCTTCTCATCAACATACATAATGATATACTCATGATTTGCAGCTCAAATTCATAATTATTTTACAGTAGTTATTGCATTTTTAAGTGTTTCTTCACTAAGTCGTCCCTCCAGTCAATTTTTTTTTTTTGTATACACTTCATTTGATTTTCTCCTACTTTAAGTAGGAAAAAATTAGAATTTAACATACTTTACAAATTAAAATATACTACTAAAGTATAGTACATATATTTATTAATACTATAGTTATATGATTCTGTTAGTGTCTAACCTGAAGCATTGGATAGATTAAAAAGTGAAAGGATTTATTATAGTAATTTGTTAAGATTTTTTTTTGATTGATTGATTTATTTGGTTCATTAAATATTTTATGTAAAATGAAGTAGCTGAATAATCTTATTGGCAAGAGATGAAAAACCTTGTCTAAACATGATGTCATCATTCTCAAATTTAGATGTTACTGTTTCCTAAACCAAGGGGGAAACAACACATGCTATAACCTGCAGTCATTACTGACAACAGTGCTACAACTATTAAACATTGTTAGTTTCAAGTTTAAAGAAACTCTTATTATAATGAAAGTGTTTCCAATTTTAAAATAAATACACATTGTTTAACATTGGAGGCAAGAGAAACTGGATTGGAAAAAGAAGCAGGATGAATAATTGGAAGAATTCAACTGCTAATGAAATTCAGCTGCTGCAAGTTATTTTCCTTTTAATGAGTATTATAAAAAAAACTGGACTTGCAATTGTTTTTTCAAAAAACTGTTCTTAGATACTCCTATTTTTTTAGCAAACCATGTCAAAGGACAGATTTATATTATTATTTAAATTTTTACATTTTCCTAGTACATACATACCATCACAGAGAATATCGATAGATGAAAGTCTTCTTTTGTGGGAGAGTCAGCTAGGCTGGAAAATATTTATTCTACTGAAGAGGGCTAGATTCAGTATAGTGTTTCTTTCTTTGTGAGACAAAAACTAGATATGTACATAATTTCATAATTTACACAGGGAAGGGAACACAATTTCCTATAACTCTGACTGATGTCAATCCATCAAAACAATGCCACTCGATATTGTCCAATCTCTTATAGATCTGCTTGATAAGGATTACTATTTGGGAGTAGACAATTATTATACTAGTGTATATTTGTTTGAATGTTTAATATGTCATTCCACTGATATTATTGGAACTGTCAGGAAGACAAGAAAAGATTTGATGAAGGACCTGACATTAAATAAATTGAAAAAAGGAGAGACATCAGTTAGGTACAAGGATAAACTGATGCAATTGAAATGGAGAGACACCAAAGATGTCTTAGTGATGAGTTCCACCTATGATGATTCAATCATAAAAACAAAAAGAGGTACAGATAAAATGAAACCAAAGGTGTGCATTAAATACAAACATCATATGGGAGTGTAGATCTCTTGGATCAAGTAACATCAACACTCCAACACACGCACCCATCTCAGAAAATATTATAAAAATATATATGAGATTTGTAGACTTTTGTGTACTCAATGCAATGCCATAACTAGGCCATTCCTGTGCCCTGTGCAAGAATTTGCATTTAGGCCCCTTAATAATAAGGTTTGGGAAAATAATAAAACAAATACATGCATTTTGGGGGCCACTTGTGTAGGTGCACCTGTTGCACCTGCCTAGATATAGCACTGACTCAATGCACACATTATCCACAAAAAAATTAGATGGAAAATTAAAAATGCAATATAAAATATACTAACAATATTCAAATACATAACTCATCTACTACTTGGAGTTATTTTCCTTTTTTATATGATGTAAACAATACAACTCTGTACAAGTACTGGCAATAAACCAAAACCTACAAACTAGATGGTGTGCATCAGTTTGAGCTGTCATCTGTGTGAGTTCTCTCGTCACATCATCTCTCCCAATTTAAGCTTAGTTTTTACTTTGTTAAATTATTAATCATTTTTTCAAAACTAGATATTTTATGTAAATTGAGATTTGACCAATTACTGTAGATATTATTTTTGGTGCTATAAGGATTTTCATTTGGAACAAATTAGAAAATTATGAAAAGAATTGTAAAGTTATAGAAAGTAAAAGATAATTGAGGGAAAGTATAGATTTGGTGGAAGATAGGTAATGCAGTTTGCTGATTGAATGAGACAGGATTTGAAGAAGAAAATAAAGACTGGTAAAAATAATAGTAATAAGGATGTTTCCTAGCTCCAAAAGAGAAAAAATAATCTAGTGAAAAAGTGTGGGTTCTTAGTGTGCTTTTAAATGGAAAAAAACTGCAGATTGGGGTTAAGAAGAGGTTAATTAAAAGCTTAAGAGCATAAGAGATGATTGCTCTTAGAGGAAGGATATGATAGATATGTACAAATGAGATGGGAAGATGCAAAGTTAGTGAAAGTTACAATAAGAGAGGGAGAAAATTCCAAATGGATGAAAACCATTTGAATTTTCTAAGATGGTTTGAAAAGAATAGTTGTTAGTAATAATGACTTATTGAATTCTTAAAAGATAGATGAGTGGAAGAAAGAAGGAAAAGGGAAATTAAGGATGTTAGGGGTGATATGGGACTCCAAGGAAGAGGACTGAAAGGAAGATGATAATATTGTTGTGGTTTTATAGCTAGAAAGTAGAGTTGCTTGTAAAAAAAATTAGAATTTGCAGAGGACATTTTTTTGTTTTTTTTTGTTTTGCTTTGCAAATAAAAAAAAAATTTGCAATGTTATTTCTGGAAGGATTTTCTTGAATAATATTCATAAGTATATATTTTATTATACACACAAAGTTATATAAATACATATATAATTTTTCTTGAATGTGTGATTTTATTTTGACTGTTAATATCCCTGAAAATTGGCTGTAGGAACTTGAAAGCATTGTTCTAATAAATTCATGAATAAGAGTTTTGGTGAACAAGTTGATATAGGAATTGTTTTACTTTCCAGATTTAAAAAAGCGTTAATGCATTACATTGTAAATGCAGAATTTAATGGGAGAATTCTAAACTGAAGTAGATATTACATCTTAATTTTATAATCTTTGTTCATTAAGAACAACAATGTTTGGCTTATATATGGGCTGATATGATAAATGCTTTTCTTTTATATCATACTGATTTATTATGACTTATTTTGATTCATTTTTGATAATTTTCAGGGAATACACTGATGTAGGAAAAAATTAGAATTTAACATACTTTACAAATTAAAATATACTACTAAAGTATAGTACATATATTTATTAATACTATAGTTATATGATTCTGTTAGTGTCTAACCTGAAGCATTGGATAGATTAAAAAGTGAAAGGATTTATTATAGTAATTTGTTAAGATTTTTTTTTGATTGATTGATTTATTTGGTTCATTAAATATTTTATGTAAAATGAAGTAGCTGAATAATCTTATTGGCAAGAGATGAAAAACCTTGTCTAAACATGATGTCATCNGTTACGTAATTTATGAACGATCCCTTTAAATCTTTATATGTTATCAAATAATTTAAAAATTGAAATTAATTTTAAATTATGATAGCTCAATTATTTGATTTTAATCTTTTGAATTTAATGTCAAAATATGTACATTATTACACAGCTGTATTGTAATATTTGAACTATTTTGAGTGAGCTTAAGAGCTGTATTGAATGATTTTATGTAAATTGAATATTTTCATTTATTATTTTGAGGACTTATGAAATGTATTTATCATTTGAATGTGTCATATAAAAGTAATATAGTAAGAAGAAAATTAATGAATTGAATAATTTTTAAAGAATTATCTAATGTGTTTTATGTTGTAAGCAAGTCTTTGTCTT